TACACAATTTGTTTTTTTTTTTTTTTTTTTTTTTTTTTGAAATATGTTGATGAATCAAATTAAGAAAAAAGAAGAACCCCTCAAATAAAGTAAATATTTTGCATGCCTACTTTCGTCTTAGTTCCAAACGTTTGTACGCCATGGGAACTTCTTTTTTATTCCATGTCACTATCTTGGTCTAATTGGTTCCCCCGTTTCCCCCTCTTATTCTTACTTCTGAGCAATTACAAGCAGTGAAAATGGTGAATTTTGGAGCCCTACGAGTGTATTTTGAGGAAAGGGTAATTATTGACCACTAGTTATTATATTTTCTTATAGAATATGACAACTAAGCAATTCTGTTAAAAAGATAGACGGAGTTAAGACATAGGAGTGAAAATGGATACGTTCTATAGATCAGGAGACACAACATATAATTTTAAAGTTTGGGAGCATAATAACATAAGTGACATAATTTAAGGGAATTTGTAAAATTTATCATTAAATTAAATTTTGCATTGAATTGAAGATGCTTTTCGAATTAATCACACAAGAAATGTTATTGTAATTCTTATTTTATAACTTGTGATAGTCAGGTCAATTAATTTTTCTGGAGAAAAAAATAATGAAAAAAAATTAAAAACGAAAGAAAATTAGATAACAGTAATATAAATGTGTATATATATATATATGGTCAATTAATTTTTCTGGAGAAAAAAATAATGAAAAAAAATTAAAAACGAAAGAAAATTAGATAACAGTAATATAAATGTGTATATATATATATATACACACACATACATATACTAAACATTGGAAAACTACTATTATATTACATTAATAGGAAATAAGCATACGAGTATAAAGCCTCGTTCATTTCAGTTGTTTGAGTTGAGAACTTGAGTTAAAAAGTGAATTTACTTATCTGAGAGCAAATACTGTAGTAGAAAAAGTTAAATTTAAATTTTTGTGAGAAAAAACACTGTAATAAAAATTTGAGTTGTGATTCGAACTAGTGAAACGAGCAAAGCCTAAATTAGTTACAATTCTTATGATATTAAATGGATACGTCATATTTTATGCTATTTTTTAAAAGCTTAATCTAAATTAGTTATTTTAGTATATGAAATTTTAATAATATATGTAAATATATTACTAATGACCCTTGAGGACATGTAATTATCTTATTTTGGCCCTTAATATTCACTAATTTTAGAGATTTAACTACCCTTTTTTTTCCCCAAAAAATCCAACTTCGATCTTATGATTATCAACTGTCGATTAGCACAAATATGACACATAAGGGCTTTAAGAAGAATAAAATGGTAAAACAGAAGAAGCATATTTGAAAAAATATATGTATTTTTAAAATAAAAAAGAACCAGATCTAGACTGGGTGGCTCAAACAAGTTTTTATGTCACACATGGCTTTCAAATTCAGAGAACTTTCTTTCAAATATTCTTTTTGCAATTTTTCTTAAAACACTCACATGTTATCCTCGTATTATATTTCATCACAAAATAGAGTTCACTAATGAAATGTTACAACTATTTATTTTAAAAAGTCAGGATAGCTAAACACTAAAAGTGAATATCATAGTCAAAATGATACAAATGCATATAGTCATGGTTTATTAGTGATTACAACCTACATATTTTTTTGCCTTTAACGTATTGAATGGTAGAAATGACTTCTTTTTTTTTTTTTTTAATCTCAAAGAAGGTTCTAAAGAGTAAAGATAATTGAAGGACATATTACTATGAATTACGTGGTACCTATTTGATATTATCAAAATAGTAAATTACCAAATTATTAGTTATATAAAACAAAAGAAAGTCTCAAAGTTTAACTACAGAATTTTCTGCCTCTAAGGAAGCTGTTTCTCGAGTATCGTTAATTCTTTTGTTCTCCTTCTTGGAATTTCTGCTATCAATATAGTGCTGATAAACATATGACATGAGTCCCCAGGTAGCCAAAACCATGGCAATCACTTTAATTCCATCTATTTTGTCATGGAAGAAGATCACAGCCAAAACAGGAACAACAGGCAAACTCAAAACACTGATGACATTGGAGAAGAGTGAGGACACCTCAAGAATGAGCCCCACAGCTCCAATATTGCAAAGTTGCCATGAAATAGCTGTCCATGTTAAGGTCATGACATATGAAAACTTCCCTAGTCGAAAACCCGTCATTTCTTTCCTCAAAACCTTCCAATCTCCACTTGTGAATAGCCCCACAAGAGCACAAAATGTCGCCACCATTGACTGATACAAGGTCATGTCCATGATTGCTGAAAAAGCTTCCTTCTTCACAATTTTCTCCATTGCAAACTGTGTCAAGGAGAGCACCAAGCCATACCCGGCCGAGGCACAAATGGTGCAAATGAACCCGACTACGTATTTCCTTCCGGGTACTTGTTCAGATGGGTCTGCAAAATCTGCTTGGAAAAGTAGAAGTATAGAGGATATTGTGAGAAGCGCTAGGGAATTGACAATGTAAGGAGTGAATTTCTGTGAGTTGAGAAAGAATGAGAACAAGGCACTGAATGACAACTGGGATGCACAAATGAGGGAGTAAGTGGAAACAGGAAGGTGGTACAGCCCAATGGAGTGAAAAAGGCATACTGCTCCATTTAGGAGGCCAAGAGAGATGTAAACTGATAAGATGGTTAAGGCGGATCTTGTCGGTTTCGAGCGGATAATGCTGTTTGTGAAAGGTCTCTTCGGTGTTGGGGCAGTGCAATAGTAGGGAAGGAGCATTGGGAAGCCTGCAATTTGTACTAGTGTTGCCATCCACTTGCTGTTTCCGCCTTTGTCGTAGTACAATCTTCCTAGTAGGGTCGCTACTGACTCGCCGCAGTAGACAAAGATTGCGTAGATAGACACCCGGAGCCACCACTTATGGTCCCTGGCTTGGCCATGGATTGGTGATTGGTTGGAGACATTTGTATCTGCAGGTGTTTTAGCTGCATTAGCTTCCTGAACTGAAAATAACATCGATATATATCAGCACTAGTTGGTTAAAAAGGAAAGAAGCTTCTTCAGTGCTGGCAGATTGTAGGACTTTGTCCTGCAGAGAAAATAAAACTCACATCCTGCAGAACAATGCTATTAGACCTCAGTGGCGTACCATTATTAGACTTTTATCATTTTTCCATTGAAAATCTTAAGCACTATAAGATTTGTGTCATTACTTTTTTCTCTTTAGATGTTAACTCAAAAGGGGAACATAATTCTAAAATAATGGCATAAAACTAAAGAGATGAATAAAGGAGGGCACATTCCCTGTTTTCCTTTCCTTTCGTTTAGAGAAAATTATAGAATTTACCCTTAAGAGTGCATGAGTTAGATTTTTACCCCTTATTCTTGATTAATACCCTTTTGCAAGTATTATTCTGTAATGTCCTGAGATCTTTCAGCCCAAATGCTGCATTTTCCACTTGTGAAGAATTAAGAACAGTGCCTAGGCATTCTAATGTTAATTCTTAAACTGGCCCTTGTATAATTACATTGGTGGTCTTTCTTGTTGTGGTGGTATTTTACCAGATACCCCAGCTATAGTCAAAATCACAAACCGGTGTTATAGTGTACACAAAACAAAGTAAATTCTCTTCTCTTGGTTGAAACTCAGGGTACCTATGGTAACCCTGAAGACTACCTTACTTCTTACCTAGTATATGTAAATGAATTAAAATTCTTTCCTTGGGATATGTATTAACCATGAAAACTATATAGCTAATATGTGAAGGCACAAAAGAAGAAGAAAATGCAGGAGATGAAAGTTGATCTTGCATGAACATACTTACCCATGATATCGAGTTTTAATGGCGGAGCTTCTCCCATGTCAAAGTTGAAGGAATTCCAAAAGATGATCAGGAGAAAGAGGAGACTCAATTTTATTAGGACTTGTTTTTCATTTATTTGCATGCAACTCGCATGAACATGTTGTGCATCACCTAACACGCAATGAAAAGAAAGCTACTTGTATGAGATTGCAATCTTTTAGCCAACGGTATTTGTGCAGTCTTATTATGATATCGACAATCCCTATACATCAAATTTTGTATTAACAGGTAAAAATATAATCATAATATACCCATGAAAAAGATGTCCGAATATTTATCAGCAAACTTCTTGGTTTTGTGCTAAAACAGATGCATCTCTCGTATGTACATTATAAGTGTCTTTGGATGTGCAAGCAAAGAGAGGAAACGTGACCATTTGAAGATTTGTGTTAAGATACAATAACATTTTATAATCAAATTTTCAAATTGAATATACAAGGTTTCTTTATGTATAATCAAATTACAAGAGTCACGAGAATCGAATTTGATAGCGCCCGACAAAATCTAAGTCACAAGAACCTACATTTTCTTTAATGATTGAACCAAAAACGCTAAATAAAGAGTGTTTGAAAGGGAAAAAACAAAAGGCCCAAAAGAGGAAAAGAATAATAAAAGGGATATATAGCAATGCGTGATATTAAAAAAAAAAAAAAAAAAAAAAAAAAAAAAATTTCCTTCCCATGTCGTTCCAGTTCCCCGAAACTTTCCAGGGAGAATCCGCCATCCATCCTTCGCTTTCGCCCAGAAATGGAATGTATTTATCCTTAAAAACTGATGGAACCACTAGCTTCGCGAGGGAGAAATGCACGCAACATGTTCTAATCAACCTTACTTTATTCCGTATATATTTGCACATCCAACAGAAAAACCAGATTAATTCGCCTTGGGCTCTGGATTTTTCACACCTGCAATGGTGAAATTCGTTATTATTCAAATCAGAAGCAAAGAAATGACATCAAAATGAGTTTTGAGAAATCTAAAAAGGAACCATAATAAGACTCGGAACCACTCGCACTTACTTACAGTCAATGAGGGATCAAAAGAAGAATGAATGAGAAGCAATACAACACGATAGCAATTGCGCCTCCAGCAAGGAAATTATGAAACAGCTTTTGATTGTCTTTTGTGGGTACGAAGACTGTTTTTAGTGTATTGGTCAACTCAAACAGCCGGTGCGAAACCTACAAATACAAATCAGCAAAGCGATATAGTACAGAAAAATTAGATGAGTAAAGACAAAAGGCTCTTCTTGTATAAGGGCTATAATCTGCTTACCAAAATATAAATGGCAGTTGTGAGCATGAAGTTGAGCAATGCATATTCTGGGATAAGTGAAAGAAGCCACTTAGGCTGTCCATTAGGCACGTTTGATCTGAAGTGTGAATAAAGTAGTTAGAACAAAATTGTGAAAATTGGCACCACCATTAGTTTAGTTTTAGCAAGTTAAACTTGTGGGGTGGGTTGGAGGGTGCTTATTCTGTCGTGTCAGACTTGAATGAACACAGGAACACAATAAATGAAACAAAATATAACCGCACATACCTCAACCAGATGTGGAACTGAGAAATATAGGTCTCCAGAGTAATCTTGCCAAGCCACCTAGTAATACAAAGTACAAAAAACACAAAATTGTCAAAAATATATACAGAAACACAAGGTAAAAGCAGAATTGATGAATGAATAGGCCAGGTAAAGGGTGGCTTTCAAGGGTTCAACGATATAATATACAGGTATGAATTACATACGCGAAGAGAGTAAGAGAGACACTCCGAAACTGCTGAGTGAAGTTCCGCAAGCATATATAAACTCTGAAAGGAATCAGAAAGACATGCAAAATAAGTCAATGGAAAAGACCAAAAGAAAAGGTCGCCACATGAAATTCCCTACAAAGAGTTGCTCATATTTAACACTCACGTTATAGGAATCCATGATGTGTAGGGATGGAACTTGTTATATGTAACCTTGTCCAGCTTGTAAATGTACTCGAACCATAAACAACCAACCTGACCAAAAGCCAGAAAGCATAAGATCAGATCACTGAATAAAACGAGATGAAAAACACTTATAAAAATTCATCTCATCTCATCACCATCATATAAGCTGAAAATAGTAATAAAAAAAATTAACCACCACTCACAAATAGGGAAACTGCAACAATGCCCCCTTTGATTGCGACTCTTTTCTTGGTTTCGGATTCCTCTAATTTTTCCATCCACTTCTCAACCTGAGATAATACTGTTCTATAGGTAAAAGAATCCAAGAAACAAAACTACAAGATGCACGAGAGTTCAATAATTTACATTAGGATGATAATAGGCATATATCATTCCAATGATCCATATATAGCGATCAAGTCCAGATCTGAAATGCCACTCATGCAGTCGTGGGAGATCCGGCTTTGCAGGATCAGTATACCCTGCCATACAAAAAATAAAGAAGCAAACTACATTTAGTAATATGCATAAGGTAGGAAAATGTTTTGAAATTGAAGCATCCTAAATAAATCTGAAAAAACTCAATTAGTTGAAACATTTTTACCAGAATTGTCGACTTAAAAGACCTCATGAATGCGCAATTGGACTAATGTGACAGTTTAATAAGTAGTTTCAGGGGCAAGATGATTGGTTTTAATATTAGAACAACAGAGAGGTAAACATTGAAATTCAATGAAATAAAGTGAATTTTAAAGCATGGATTACTGACCTAAAAAGAACGCAAATGGACTCCAGAGCATGTCAAAGACCCCAGGAACTTCCCAAATCAAGATAACCACAAGAAAGCATGCAGCAATCTTCACAAGCATCACTGATCTTATCTCGTTATACTTGTTAAAAATTCCAAGGGCTCCATACACCATTACAGTGAACAGCGTGTGCATTGGACAGATGTAGTATAACATATAATCATTATTGAGGACAATAGAGCAAAATGCCACAAAGAAGTTTAGTCGCCACATCATCTGAATGTACAGTACAATGAAAGATCTGAGATTACTTTATTTGTTCTTGTACTTTTTTGTTAAAAATCATTGAAGATAGAGAAGTTATACGACAAGTTATGCAGAAATAAAATAGTTAAATCACCTGTGCAAAGCGTGCTAGGCTAAAATCCTTTCTAATGTAGTAATAGGAAAAGTTTCCAAATCCAGTCATCCAAACATATGCAGCAATAAAGATACGAATTGCATTGTATATCTCAGTTGCAGCAAAGTAATGGTACATCAAAAATAGGACCTGTCGTGGAAAGAAATACCATGGTCACTACAATAAATAAAATTACATAAGAATGTAGTTAAAAATTGATAAGTCAGAAAATTTCTGCAAAATGGATTTGGGATATCCAACCAACTTACAGGAATTTCAACATCTACAACATAGGTTTAGCAGGTTTACTTCAGAAAACCAAAAACATTTTCTATAGAACTACTGACACTCTCCATAGCGTTATCAAGAAGTTTCGAAAATATTTGAGTCAGCTTCGATGTTTGATGGCATCAATATATGATTTTTCGTTTAAGTGGCCAGATGAAGTAAGGTAATGTCATAATAATAAGAATAACAAAATAACAAAGCATATAAAGGTAAACAGATCAACTAAGTTAATAAAGGTCCAAAACCCCCCTTTCAACCTCTCGCAAACAACAAAATAGTAGTATTCCAATCTTTCCTAAACAAATCTAAAGCACTAAATTTATTGGCTCTAGTTAAAGTACTTGCCTGCATCCACCCTTTCCACTCTTCAGTCTGATGACGATTAAGGTATAGTATGGATTTTCCAGAGAATGCTGATCTGTCAGTATGTTTCTTCAAAGAAGTCATAGCTGAAACTATGATAAGAAGAATGTAGAGGAAGAGAAAAAGGTCGCGGTTGTAGTGCTGTCAAAAGAAGAAAACAAGCAACAAAAAGTAGAATCAACAACAATACATATTTTTCAGCTTATCTTTGTTATGAATTGAATATATCCTCATTTAATAACGTTTGTCCTAGAAAATTGAATAACTTGAAAGAAACAGTTCTTTCAGGAAAAGTTTCTACATTTAGATGCTGATAATTTTATGGATATTCTCCATTTGTAGTAAACTATAATTATTCTGTCACACAAAAAATCCATAAAGAAGCTATAAACAAAGCCAATTCAAGAAAAAATGGACTGGATTAGAAAATGCATAGACGCATTTAAATACACACGTGAAGATATACATGTGAAAACCAAAAACATGAAAAGTTACCTTTGTAGAGTCTCCCAAGAAATTTGTCCGGTCACATATGTAGAAATAGAATAGAATTGCCCCAAGCTCAGACCTAAATGAAATAATACTCTTGTTAAGAAGGAATTACATGTACCAAATTTTGTATCATTAATTACATAATAAGTACATTACATTGCTCTAAGTGTCGCTCGATTTTCTAGTAAGAAAGAGTCCTCCAAAGTCAGAAACCTATAAATTCATTCACAGAAAAAGCTTAGAAAGAGTTCTAATAACACCACCCCAAAGAAATTCAATAAAGGCATAACATAGCAAGTAAACTAACCTAATTAAATTTGCTTTAATGGACGGACTATAAAACTTTAAAGATGCTGATCTTGTGAGACCTCCTTCTAACAAAACAGAACGATCATCTTCCTTGGTAGTCTCTCCACCCAATTCAACTAGGTTAATGTCTGAATGACTGCAATACAGGAAACTTAACTGTTCAGTATCAGGAATATATGCAGGAAACACTATGAAGATAAGCAAAAGATTCAAAATAAATAAATAAAATAAATAATAAAAGATTCAAAACAAGAAAATAGATGTCAGATAATGTCACCCCGAGACTAACAATAACCAAGTTCATCAAGTCTAAATCCCACCATCATTAAACAGAAAAAACTTACACTTTGTGGGGAGATAGAGATTTCTTGTACTCCACAAATAGATGTCAGATAATGTCACCCCGAGACTAACAATAACCAAGTTCATCAAGTCTAAAGCCCACCATCATTTAACAGAAAAAACTTACACTTTGTGGGGAGATAGAGATTTCTTGTACTCCAAGTACTCTGAATATATCCACGAGACAAATATTGGGATGATCCCCAGCAAAAATGACACCTAGGAACAATATTGTTAGCCCCATTAGCGAAATCTTTATTCAGAATATATCAGAATTTACAGAACCAGGTCGAATAAGGAAATAAAGGAATGACAAATTAAGGTAAAATTTGAATAAGCCTAATGGATTATGATGATGCAGTGCATAGTCAAGAAAGCCAGACCAAAAATTAGCTTCACAGAGCCATTCCAGAAACAGAGCACAAACGTTTCATTAAGCAAAAAAATAATACTGAATCTTCTACGGTTTCTAGTAATTGCTAGTGCCTGCAGTAGATAAGAGGAAAATGTGTCGCGGGGTGAATAGCATTTTCCCATCCCAAACAATTACCAAACTGATACCCATTTGATTTAAGGGGGGAAAGAAGAAAGGAAGAAGCAAAAACCATTCCAATTTGAGTTCACCATGAATAATAAAAAACATATCACCATAAATATGATAACAAACAGATCTAAGTAAAAATATAGTATTCACGTTTGCATTCCAGCATACTATTTTGATATCACTCATAACTACGTCAAAAGGAGAATAAAACGATTTAGAGCCAGTTTCTGAACAGTCATAGCAGTTGTAGGACTATCAAACTAGTACCATTATGACTCGATTCAAAGATTATAAGTAGCAGATTTGCCAGAATCTATACTTTTCGTCAAAATAATATAATATTTTTGGTATAGTGATCATTTAGCTTCTCTTCTCCAACCCAAAACTGAGTCTACCTATTTCACAACTCATAATTAAAAAGCCTTAAAGAACAATATAAAATAAAATAAAAGATGGGTTTTTTATTTTTATTTTTGTTCTCCTTCAAACTTGGTGTAAGTACCCAATTTATAAAGACGGAGAATTTCCGTCGTAGACAATACCTCTGAGACATTCCTATAGTACATTATATTCGATAGACCTATGAGGTCTTGTAGTAAACCAAATTTTGATATCGATACTAAATTAGGAAACCTATAAAACTCCACCCATGCCAATCCCTTTCGCAAGCTAATTCAAGTAAAATGCATTCCTTAAACAGCAACAACGGCTCTCCAATCAATTTCAGATCGAGAGCTCCACAAAAGGCAATTAAAATTCAATAACATTGCAATCTAGTACGGAGATCTTCAACGAAATCGCGCGAGTACAAATCGACGCACATCAAAAACTCTTCCACATTCAATTGATTACCAACAATCACATCCAAGAAAAAGAAAAAAAAAAAAAAAAAAAAAAAAAAAAAAAAAAAAAAAAGCAAAACGCGTACCTGTCCAGGCGTAACTGGCCCAGAATCCACCATTTTTCCGAAGCTGAAAAACCAGAACCGGAAAGAATTCAGCAACGAATTGAGCCGAACAAAAGAAATCCAAAAGATTTAAGCGTAATTGGAGATCGTAGATCGAGAAAAATGAAGTACCTTACGAAGAATTACAGAGCAAATCTATAGGACATTGAGCATAAATATGAGAGAAAGAAGAAAAGAGAGGGGAATTGAGAAACCCTAGCAGTAGATCGGATATGGAGAGAGAGAGAGAGATCAAGTAGTGGAAGAAGAAGAAGAAGAATGGTTATGGTGGTTCAGTATCAGGCTTTTGCTTAAAGAAAAGAGAAAATGTCGGAAGGTACGTCCTTCTCACTCTTGTTTCTCTCTCTAGAATTTTGCTCTGCAGCATCCAGCGGTTGAACTTGATTATGGTTGTTGTTGGTATCGTCTTTCGATTTGTGTTTTTATTAGTTTTTGCAAGTTTGGTTTTGGTTGTGGTTGGCCTTTTGTTTTCCTCTAACAAGAGGGGAAAAACAAAATGTTTCTAAAGATATTCTCATTAAAAAAAAAAAAAAGAAAAGGAGTTTCAAACATGATTACAACAAAATAAAAATAGGAATTTCTTTGGAACGCTAACTTATTTGCATGTTAAGTTTTTTTTTGTTAAATTTGTATAAAATCAGGTAAAATTAAAAAAAAATGTATATTTAATAATTAAAAAATTTTAACTTATTGATACACTAAGTGTAGTAGAAAATTTCTCAAATAAAAAAGTGTGCAATATTTATAGAATTTAATAAGATTTGATGGTTTAAAATAAAAGTTACAGTTGTGAGTAGAATTTTCCTATTTGATAAAACTCAACTCCTATTCTGTGAGACAGAAAAGTAAATATATGAATTAATAAATATGCAGGCAGAAAATAAATAAAAAAAATGGTGTTTGTATGTTTTTTTTTTTTTTGTTTTGAAAACATCTATTTATTTTGATGAAATTAAAATTAAGCTATTCATATGAAATAGATCCAATTAAAATCTCGCTATTCGTATAAAATAGATCCTAAGATTAAATAGAACGTAGATAATTAAATCAAAAAATTCTTTCTTGTCTATGGCATAAATAAAAGGATATAAATCAGTAGGGATGAATGTTAGAAGAATGATTGAGGCTTAATTAGCAACCATAAGAAAAAGAAGATTGAAAAAACATTGATAGCCTATACATTATGCTACCAAAATCAGACAATAATTGAATTGCTTATAACTTGTAATCCTAGCTTTTTGTTGTTGTGACACATTACTATTTTTGTACAAAGTCTATCGAGATTACGACTTGTGAGAATTGTTGGAGTAATTAGGAAGCACAAAGCAACATGGTCTATAAATTTCTCTCTCCATATAAATAATATAATAAAATAAATTTCTAAACGACATGTGGTCACAATTCTAGACGACATGAGTCAAATATTCATAACTAGACATTAGCATTTATTTATTTATTAGTTTTTGTCGCGTTCATTTAAAAATAACGGGTTTACAAATTTTTCTTTTAAAAAAAATTAGTTTTTGGCGCGGATAATTCACTTAAAATAACAGTTATACAAATTATTTAAAAAAAAAAAGACAAAGAAGATGATCTAAAAATCTCTTAAAAATAAATAAATAAACATAATAATTATTAATAATAATAATAATTAAAAAAAGGGGAAAATTCGAAGCCACAAACCTGAACTATTTAAAATAACGGTTATGTAAATTATTTATTTTTAAAGAAATAAAAGAAGAAAAAAGGCATAATAGAAACGTGTTAGAGTACAAGGACCAAAATTCTATTTGGTATGACCCTAAAAGCTCGCGGTGCGATATATGTGGTAGAGCTCTAATTATGAAATTTTTTTTGGAGTCTGTGGTGGTAGCGGAGGAATCAGGCAAACAGGGCTGATTATTCTTGCATATATATATATGCAAATTATTCACATAATTTTATTGTATTTTTGTTGAATTTAATTTGACGTGATTTTATTGTATTTGAGGGTATTTTTGTTGAATTTAATTTGATTATTCATAGTATTTTTTATCTAAGTATTATAAAAAATTTGGCATAAAACGATGTTAAAACAGACAAAATCACACTATAAATACATTTAAAATTAATAATTGAATATTATAAATAATAATAATTAAAAAAATAAACTTGGATTCATTTCACGCCGTTGGATCAAAACAGCCTACGAATGAGATTGGCGCATGGGCAACATGCATAGATATAGGCGCGTCGGGCAATGAGTCAAGTGTGAAATTCTTCTTTAGTCGAGTGTATGGATTTATTTATTATCTTTTTCTTTTTTTGAACAATTGAGTGTGGGGGATTTAAACTCTTCGCTTTATAGTGAAATCAAGTATAAAATTACTGTTAAGTTGTGCACATAACTACATTGCTATTAGCATTTAACAGTTCTCTATTAGGAATTTTTTTTATTATTTTGTGAATGTCAAATATGTCTCTAGGCTTAAATTAACATAGTCAAAACTACATTGTCAATCCCTCTGACGTCAAAACTACGGGCCTGTTTGTTTTTATTTTCATTTTCGTTTTTCGAAGCTAAAAAATGAAAACACACTCTAAAAACGTGTTTGGCACAAAACTTTTCAAAAAACAAAAACAAAAACGTTTTTGTCTTTTTGTGAAAAACTGAAAACGAAAAAAAAACCGTTTTCTCATTTTCATTTTCATTCTTCTGAAAACGGTTTTCATTTTTTTTTTCTTCTCTCTCTTCTCCACTGCCCACCACCCCCGATAGCAACCCCCTCCCCCCCTCCA